AAAGAAGTAGAGATACCTCACACTTTAGCAACAAAATCATACCTATTAAAGAAGTAGTGGTACCTCACACTTTAATAATTTCAGCGAACTCAAAAGACAGCAACGAAATCACACAATGACTCTACTTTAAGGAGAAAATTCCAACGAAGTACTTGGTTTGTAAGAAAATACGTGTATGCAGAAGAAGGAAAAAAATTGATAGGATGGTGCGGTGTGAACTCACATGTTCAGAATAGGCATGTCGATGCCGAGGCCGAGCGAGCAACGATGATGCGAGGGCACCCTCTCCTTAGCCCTTTAAGGGCTAAAGGAAGTTGTGAACGACTTGTGATGTCTAGATATGCATTTTCAAAATTAAAGTGATTCACTATCTATTGAGACCAAGTTAAAGATAATTTATATGTATTATGCCTTTCTATTATATCAACGACAAGATGGGGTATGTATTTGATGAATTTTCCACAACTAATAAAGGTGTTTGTTCCAATTGGTCAAATTTGTGGACTTTTATAGGATGATTGATTGACAAAATATAGACTAGTGCGTGTACGAGGGGCAAGACTTTTCCATGATTTTGAATTTCTTACCTTGTTTTTTTTCCCTCGTAAACACGAAAATTCAATAAGTTGTGAAAACTATCGGACTTTCATCAATTCTTATACAATCTTACCAAACGAGCAAACCAAAGTTCATAAATAAGATATCGAAATATCCTAAGGCGTAATATTAATAAATCACATATCTCCATATTCTTTTAATAAATAAATGTTTGTGATTATAAATTGCAAATACACATAATTTTATAAAGATTCACTAGTCAATAATAGTAGTGCCTAGTTATTTTTTAATATTATCCCTTCACATGGCACGGACAATCTCTCCATGCTGAGAATGAATTTTTTTTTGAATAATTTAAAATGGTTGGTCTTTTTTCTTTTACAAAATATAAATTCATGGGTCAAGTTTTACATTTTTTAAAAAATAAATAAATTGAAAGCACTATTTGGAATCCCAAAATCATGCTTTTTGAAGAATTTGGGATTTGATTTCAAATCATGATCCCAAATTGCATCTTCAAATGTTGATTTGAAATCATGACTACATATCTCACAAGTTATGCTCTGCACCCTAAAAGAACTTATGTCCCACTAAACATAAACTCGACTGCGAAGGAAAAAAAAACAAATAAAAATCAACCCATTTGAAAAAAAAATGCAATTAAAGGAACTATTGTCCTCCACCAAAATGTTAAACATACAAGGAAAAATAGGAGATTTGAAATGGAGCACAAACCATATCAGAAGCTAAAAAACTTTGATAACATCAACCAAACTACTGCAGTTAATGTTTAAATTCAAAACATGACTTCTGCGATCTCGCAACAATTTAGTATATTGATCATTTAAATGATGCATGTAGATCAACGTACAACACCAATGTCGTAAAATATCATCTTAAAGTTTGCGCATAAGCAGAGGAGCGCCATACTGAGGATGAATAGTCACTATTGCAAATGGAGCATGTGTATATGATGGTGAGAGTTCAAAGGAGAACTTTTGTAGTATCATTGCTATCGCCATTTTTGCTTCCATCATTGCAAAGTTTTGTCCGATGCAAACACGCGGTCCCCAACTAAATGGGATAAACGAGACTTGTCCTTTTGTTGCCTTTGACACTCCTTCACTGAATCTTTCTGGTTTGAATTCCTTTGCGTCTTCACCCCATATCTCCTTATCATAATGTACTAGGATTGCGGGTATAATGAGTTGCACTCCAGCTGGTAGATTTAGCTCCCCCAATTTCACTTTCTCTTCAGTCCTTCTACCAGATGATGGCAATGGAGGGAATAGCCTTAACGTCTCGTACAAGATCATCGTTACCTAAAATAAAACACTATAAGTCAAATTCAACACATAAAAATGGTTTCCAACACTTAATGTATATTAACTAATCTCAATTAGTTAAGCCAATCAGGCTCCAAGTCCACTTCTTGTCTCGACAGTCCTATCGAATAACTATATTGAGGACATAAAACGTACTCATTAAAAGATTGGAAGAAAAGAACTTGCGAAAAGTACTTACAATTTTCAAGCGATTTAGTCCTTCTAAATCTGGTTTATTATTTCCAAAGACGTGCAACACCTCCTCTCTGGCACGTACTTGCCACTCTGGATGTAAGCAGAGCAAAATCATTGTCCATACGAGTAACACTGAAGTGGTCTCTTGTCCAGCAAAATAGAATAGTTTGCACTCGTCTACCACGTCTGATATAGTCATTCCAAAATCTTTTCTACCATGAAGTTCAATTTCTTTCATATTGGATTCAAGTAATATGCCCAATAAGTCATCTTTACTAGTCTCCCCTCCTTCGATTGCTCTCAATCTTTTGTCAATGATACGCCTAATTGTCGTTTGTATTTCCTTTTCAATTTTCAGCATTCTTCTGTTCATTTTAGTAGGCAAGAACCTATATAAACAAAGTTATTCAAATTACAAGAAAAGTCTTTCAGTAGAAAAATTGTTAAGGATCAGATTTTTCATATTTAATTACAGAGAGATTTTGCAAGCACAAAAGAAAGTGTCGAACGTGGAAATGTGATGTACATAAATTGTTGTACCTTGATCCTGGTATATGAATTGAACATGCTATTCTGATTACATACTCAGCTTGTTCGTTCTGAAGTTCAAATACTGTTCTTCCTTCTTCATAGCTACTCCCAAATGATGTACGACATATGACTTCACTGGACATTATTTGAAGGTCTGGCCATACATCGAGTTCTAATGATGTTCCCTTTGGAACAATTTCCTCCCATTTGCTTAGCATTTCACTACAACTCACATAAAATGCTGGCAGCATATGCTGTAAATGTAAAAACAAGCAAGTGCTTGTTATAATTCCCTTCTAAGTTTCTTTAACAAAGAACGTTTCTTTCTATATAATATATCCTACATGGAATGTTTAGACCACAAGATTCAAATGATATTATATTATACACATCTTTAGCTTAAGACCACAACATAAAATATAACGGAAGGAGTAATAAAGTAGAACCTTTAACTTCTCAACATGGAACACGGGATTGATGATTTTTCTGTGTTTGGCCCATTTGTCTCCATCAATGATTGATAGACCATCAGCCAATAACTTGGTCATTGGATTGGCATGACGCTGCATTACATACACATAATTCTTTGTGAAAATCTCTTTTACATGTTCAGGATCTGTGATCAACACTGTTGGATATGGGCCTAGCCACACAAAAGAACTTTTACCTGCGAGTAATCTGTTTCCGATTAGAAAAAAGAAGAAGGCATAATACATAAACAAACACTCAAATTTGATTTCAGTTGACAAATAAGCACTCCAACTTTGAGGTTCAAATCTAGACACCTCAACTTAGTCTCAACTAGCAACTAAACGCTTCAATTCGTCTCCACTGTGTCTTATAGACACCCAACGCTAGTGTAACACATAAATATTACACGTGTCTAAATGATCATCACATAATAGAGACAAGTTGAAGTGTTTAGATGTGCATACTCAAAGTTGCAGTGTTTACTTTCCAACTGAATCAATAAAAGAAACATATACCATTTTTGTTGATGGAGTTGAGGAAAAAGGGATGAGTCTTTGAGCTATATCATCAGATAAATTGATAGGCTTAGACTTTGCTTCAACTATACTTTTTGTGAATTCATTCAAATCTCCATAGAGTAACTTATATGGATTTCCTTTTAGACCTCTTTGCCTTAAGATATTCTCCAATTTTTTTGGCCTAAACCATGCCCAATTCAACACTCTCCATGTATATACCAACAAAATTGAAACACTAATTGTTGATAATTATGTTGGACAAAATCTCCATCAAATTATCTTTGTAGCTGTTTATTGTTACATAGAAAAAAGAGGGGAAAATAGCTAATTGGCAGAACAAACAGGAATGAAAACAACACTCATTGGCAGACAATAGAATAACTAAAAAACGTCATAAATAAGGTGTTTAGATATACTAAGAACTCGGCGACCATCAGTAATAATACAAACTTCCCAAAAATATCCCTTTTTTTGAAATAGAAAGGACGAGAAAAGTCGAGAAAACTGGTACCTTTTTTAATGCAGCGAAATGGGGACGGCAAATGAGCTGAGCAACGATCTTTCAACCACAAAATCGAATTACGGACAGCAAACGAGAAAACCAGGCGGTAACTCGAACTCGAGTAAACTTAGGGGAGCAACGACGAACAAACTAGAAGAGATGAAGCCCTGAAAATTAACTCTTTTCTCCTCTTTCGGATATATTTTGTATGGATTTTTATAACCACTTGCTTAAGCTATTCTATATGCCTTAGTTTAGAAAATTTTCAACTCAAAAAATCTGCCCACTTTTCTCACCCAAAAAAAAAATCCCCCTATGACTAAAAACAGAGGAAATATTTATAGAAGAGGTTCAAGCTCTAGGATGTCATTTGGGCGGGATTTTTGAGTTGAAAAAGGTGTATTTTGAAATTTGAACGAAGCGTTCTTGGGTGGATATAACCTTTGTTGACTAATCCTTCAAAAATAATTAGTTTGCAGAAATCAGTCTGTGGGTCTATTTTCTAGGATTAGTGGGTTTATGTTTTACTTAGTCAATGAAATTATATTCTTATTGTAGTGGACCATGTTTACCACTTTTTCATGTTTTCCATTATTTGTGTGTTGCTTTATTTTAGCTTTAGTAGTTAATTGTAAGCCTATAAAAGGGCAATAGGAGTTTTGGTTTTTAAGCAAGAAAGTTTTGCAGTAAAAGAAACCTTCTGTCTCTCAAACTCTTTCATTTATTTTTGCCTTTTTCATCCAACAAATCTGGTATCAGAGCCAGTTTTAAGAGTAACGACATATAAAAATTTTGCCCCAGAAATAACAAACCAGAGAAACAATGGCAGCAAACTCTAACAGTAACTCCCAACATCTTCCAATTTTCAAAGGGATGAATTATCATTTTTGGAGTCTTAAGATGAAGACTCTCTTCAAGTCTCAAGAGTTGTGGGACTTGGTGGAGAGTGAATTTGCAGATCCGGATGAAGGCCACGCACAACGGCTACGGGAGAATCGCAAGAAAGACTCGAAGTTGCTGTTCCTGATTCAACAAGCCCTTCATGATGATATCTTTCCGCAAATTTCAGCAGCAGAGACTTCTCACGAAGCTTGGGAAATTCTGCAACAAGAGTATATGGGAGATAAGAAGGTAATTGCTGTAAAATTACAAACTTTGCGTCGTGATTTTGAAACTTTACTTATGAAAAGTAATGAATCTGTTCAAGATTATATGTCTAGAGTTTCTTCCATTGTTAATCTCATGAAGTCATATGGGGAGAATATTAGTGATGAAATTGTTGTGCCAAAGGTGTTGAGATCTTTAACAAAAAAATTTGAGCATGTGGTTGCTGCTATTGAAGAATCCAAGGATTTATCTGATTATTCATTTGATGAATTAATGGGTTCTTTATTAACTCATGAAGATGGGATAAACAAGTCTCATGAGAAAATTGAAGAAAAAGCATTCCAGGTGAAAGAGGAGTCGTCTGACAGAGGTAGAGGTAGAGAAAGAGGCAGATTTCGTGGCCGAGGTCGAGGCCGCGGTAGAGGCAGAAGTCAATTCAATTGACACTCGACATCCCAAGAGTGACTTTCAGTGCCAGTATTGCAAGAAGTCTGGTCATACTGAAACATATTGTTGGACTAAGCAAAAGGACGAGCAGAATCAAGCAAATTTCTCTGAGAACACAGAGAATGAAAGTAAGCTCTTCATGGCTCATTCTATAAGATTGCATAAGAATTGATTTGTTTTATTTTTTTTATATATATAGTTTTCATAATTTGTGGGATTTTCTATTAAGAAAAACATACAACTAATGAAATCAAAATTTCAATTCAATCTGATTTTAAATCATGTCCAAATAAAATCTTAATCTGCTCAGGTTTTAGCCCATTCATCGTTATCAAGAATTTAATGGATAAATAAGAATTCTCTGTCTTTAATTTGAGATCTCAAAGTTTGACATAGATTGCAATATGGATGTATATTAATTGAAGCTCTAATATAAATATCGAACGTCGATGAGAAATTAATGAAAAATTTTTACCCCTCCTGTTATGCCTGTTTAGTAAGTATTTTTTTTTCATAATTCTGTCCTGTCTCTGGTCCTGTCCAACCAATAGGACAAACCCTGCCTTACATTATCCCAATTATGTCTTTATTTTATTATTTCATTTGTCCTAGTTTCCATCCTATCTTTGTTATTTTTCAACCTTTTTCAATATATTTTATATACAACTTGTGTACTAATGATCTGAAAATACTAAACTAAAGATAGGGCATCTACGTAATATATACTATTTAGTTAAAAAGATAAATATATTGTTTAAATGGCTCGTTTACTTATAAAAACAAAACAAAAGTAGTTGTGTGATTGTGATTTGTGACCTCTCTTGATTCCATCAAAATATGTTAGTACTAGTTTAGAGACCCAAATTGAATAATAAGGTTATGGCCCAAAGAAAATAAAAAGAACTTAACGTGGCATACTACATAGATAAACAACTATCTTGAAATACTTTAATTTTGAAAATGTACATCTAGACACCTCAACTCATTACCTGTGTGTCTAGTGGACATTCGACGCTAACGTGACACATAAATTTTGATGGTATCTAGATATGCATCGTCAAACTTGGGAGTGTTAAATTTCAACTGACGCCAGATTAAGATGTCTATTTATGTCTCAAACTATCAAGTATGTTTCATGGTATATAGAGGTTAAGACACAAATGAAGAGGTAAGTATATACAGGCCAAAGAAAATAAGAAAGTACAGAACACTTTAGAAACATAGCAGTAGTTTATTTTGGTTGATTCTTACATATGGACAAACCAAAATGAACATAGACGTGCAATAGAAATATATATATATATGTTCTACACAACTTTAAGAAGAAACTTCTGCTCCACCAAGAGGCCAAATGAGGCTCATCAGAGAAGACCTATGAATAGTTGACCAATAAATTTTGATAATGTCAACATACAACACCAATGGTGTAAAATATCATATTAGAGTTTGCGCATAAGCAGAGGAGCACCATACTGAGGATGAATAGTCACTACTGCAAATGGAGCATGTGTATATGATGGAGAGAGTTCAAAGGAGAACCTTTGTAGTATCATTGCTATTGCCATTTTGCTTCCATCATCGCAAAGTTTTGTGCAATGCAAATTCGAGGCCCCCCTCCAAATGGGATTAAACGAGAATTGTCCTTTGGTTGCTTTTGACACTCCTTCACTAAATCTTTCTGGTTTGAATTCCTTTGCGTCTTCACCCCATATTTCCTTATCATAATGTACTAAGATTGTAGGTACTATGAGTATCACTCCAGCTGGTAGATTTAGCCCTCCCAATTTCACTTCTTGTTTATTCGTTCTACCAAATGTTGGTAATGGGGGGAATAGCCTTAACGTCTCATACAAGATCATGGTCACCTGTGAAAAAGTATTGCATAAGTTGGCAGAAGAATTAGGGGTGTTTGCTAAAAGCTTTGACAAACTTATAAGTATTTCTTGGCAGAAAACTAATGAACACTTCTTTACCAAACAATCAACTTTTATACTTCTATCCAAACATGTAATTGTCTATTTATAAAATGGGCTCTTGGTTCACTTTTTATCAACTTCGGGGATCCTATGATATCACTATATTGAGGACACAAAACATACTATCGAAAAGAACTTGTGAACAGTACTTACTATTTTCAAGCGACCCAGTCCTTCCAAATCTGGTTTATCATTTCCAAATACCTGCAACACCTCCTCTCTGGCATGTACTTGCCACTCTGGATGTAGGCACAACAAAATCATTGTCCAGACGAGCAACACTGAAGTGGTCTCTTGTCCAGCAAAATAGAATAACTTGCACTCTTCAACCACTTCAATTGTTGTCATACCGAAATCTTTGCTTCCGTGTTGTTCAATTTCTCTCATATTGGATTCAAGTAATATGCCTAATAAGTCATCTTTACTAGTCTCCCCTCCTTCCATTGCCCTCAATCTTTTGTCAATGATACGCCTAATTGTTGTTTGAATTTCCTTTTCAATTTCCAGCATTCTTTTGTTTCTTTTTGTAGGCAAGAACCTATACAAACAAATTCAAAATCAAACAAGAACAGTCTTTTAGCAGAAAGGCAGAGTACAGCTTCTGTTGTATCGTACTTATGTAACGACAAAGAAAGGTAAACGTCGAAATATGATAAATAAATTATTGTACCTAGATCCAGGTATATAAATTGAACGTGCTACTTCCATTACATGCTCAGCTTGTTCCTTCTGAAGTTCAAATACTATTCTTCCTTCTTCATAGCTACTCCCAAATGCTGTGCGAGAAATGACTTCGCTGGCCATCATTTGAAGGTCTGGCCATACATCGATCTCGGTTGATGATCCCTTTGGAACAATCTCCTCCCATTTGCTTATCATTTCACTACAACACACGTAAAATGCTGGCAGCATATGCTGTACAAAACAAATGAAAAAACCAGCAGTACTTGTTATAAACGGATAACTTCAATAAAAACAAAAAAAGAAGTATTAACCTTTAACTTCTCGACATGGAAGGTAGGATTGATGATTTTTCTGTGTTTGGCCCATTTGTCGTCCTCAAGGCTTACAAGACCTTCAGCCAATAACTTGGTGAATGGATTGGGATGAGTTTGCTTTAGATACACATAATTCTTTGTGAAAATCTCCTTTACATGTTCAGGATTCGTGATCAACACGATTGGGTAGGGGCCTAGCCAGATGAAAGAACTTTTTCCTGCGAGTAACGCTAGCTTAATAGAGGATGAAACAAATGAAAGAAACAGAGAAGGACATTTTTACTAGACTATCTTCTTTATGTTACTAATGATTTTAATGGTACCTAATGTTATTATGCATCTCTTTTAGAGGAATTATATGCAATCTGAATGGAAAAGAATAAAATCATCAGGAAATAACTGTAAAACCAAGCTATCGACTCAATTAGGCATTTTTTCGACAACAAAATCACTAATGAAAGTAAACATGAAATAAGCCTTTCACAACTTAATCAAACAGTTCATTCAGACATTTTAACAAACAGGTAATAGGCATTTCAAAAATTAAATCAAACAGTTTATTCAGGCATTTTACCAAAGGATAAGGGTCTGAAAAATACCCCAACTAGGGAGGTAATAGATCCTTATGAAAGTTTAGTATCGCAACAGCAAATCCGATCAAAATTGGGGTATTTTTCAGACCCTTATCCCTTTACCAAACAAGTAATAGGCATTTCACAAATTAGTTAAATACTCCCGTTGTCCCTAATTACTTGTTCACTTTTGAATTGACACACCTATTAAAAAAATAATTAATGACATAGTAAGTTTACCATTTTACTTCTATTAATTATGAAGTGGATGAAAAGTTCTACATTTTTCAAAATAATTAGTGATTTAATTGAGGGTATAATAGGTAAAAAGAATTTGTTCTTTCTTGATTTGTCAAAATGGACGAGTAATTAGGAATAACTATAAAAGGAAAACTGGACAAGTAATTAGGGATAGAGGGAGTAGGTTAAAAATAGTTTTTCATAATAATTTATTTTCTGACAAAATTTTCTACTCAAATGTCACGTGTCATCATTTAATTCGTCGCGTCACCACGAGTGTATTACATATGTTTTATACTTTTGACTGATTATAAAAAAAAATGTCAAACAAGTATCAATTTTAAGTCGTAGAAGTGTTCAATAGATACAAAGTGACGAATTAAATATAGATACTGACACGTGGATAACGACACCTCACTGATAATTACAATATATATATATTGGGTTACAGCTGTGTGTGTTAGACAAGCTCATCTCAATATCTACCCAAAGTCTTGATTAATATCAATCTGATATATACTTTTTACATAATCGTGAAGATAAGATTTTTTGTCACTATACTCAAAAAAAAGAAAAATAATTGACCTAAAATCAGGACCACATAAAAGAACAAAAGTAAATTAAACAAAAAAAAAAAAAAGACAACTAACTTCCCTTCTTTAATTACTTCCTCCACCCAATCAAATATGACTCACTTTTTTTTAGTCAGTTAAAAAAAAAAAAAAAAACTCTATATTTATTGTTACATAAATATCTATGACCTATTTTAAATAATCAATTTAATTTTTTTTTTCTTAAACTCCGTATCAAATTAAATAACATCACATAAATTAGAACAGAGCGGAGGAAGAGAAAACATACCATTTTTGTTGATGGAGTTCAGGAAAAAAGGGATGAGTCTTTGAGCTATATCATCAGAGAAATTGATAGGCTTAGACTTTGCTTCTACTATACTTTTTGTTAACTCATTCAAATCTCCATAGAGTAGCTTATATGGATTTCCTTTTAGACCTCTTTGCCTTAAGCAATTTTCCAATTTTTTTGGCCCAAACCATGCCCAATTCAACACTTTCCATGTATAGAACAACAAAATTGCAACACTAATTGTTGCTATAATTATGTTGTAAGAAATCTCCATTGATCTCATATATGATAAAAACTCCATTGAAAGAGGTTCTCTTACTTGCTTTCTCTTTACTAACTACACTATATAATATAAAAATGATTAATAGTTCTTTGCTATTATAAATTTATAATAAATGGGGTGGGCCCGGACGATGCAAGCCAAGTCTTTAGTCGACAAAATCGCTTTATTCCTAATCAGTATCCCGGTTCGGTTTTTAACTATTATCGATTTTTGATTTTTAAATATGCTAAATTGATAATCAAATTAATAAGATATTTGTTATTGGTTTTTGATTTTTCACCAGTTCGATTTTCGATTTAACCAATAAGAAAATATTTTCAAAAACAAATATATGACTTGTCCAATAACTTGACGCTATACACGCATACATCAAAACAAGCAAATCAGACTAAATTACAATAATAAAGACTAAAGTAATACTAAAACCTAAAGGAAAATGCAGAGGTTAGGGTTAATTAGTGTTAATTGTGTAAGGTCTTTATAGTTATAGTATAATATAGTGATTATATTAATATTTATGAGTTACTAAAAATTAAAATAGTAAATTATTATATTCTTAATGGGTTACCGGTTAACCCAGTAACTCAATATTAAAAAATCAATATCGAACCGATAACCGAATATTTTTTTTTATAAAACCATTAAATAACTGTTAACACAATAACTCAATAATAATAAATCAATAACATTTTTTTTGTTCGATTTATCGATCAGTTCAATTTTTACACAACCATATATACAAATAGTAAAACGTTCAATTGAACCTATAAAATTCAGCTTCTTACAAAACAACTGGCCAGGTTCATTTGTCCCCAAAACTAGAGCCTCTGCAGAAGTAAAGGAGCACCAAACTTAGGCTGCAAAGCTACAATACAATGTGGAACATGTGTATAAGATGGAGAGAGCTCAAACACGAACCGTTGTAGAATCAAAGCTACAGCCATTTTAGCTTCTAGCATCGCGAAGTTATGTCCAATGCATATTCGTGGTCCTGCTCCAAATGGAAAAAATATCATTTGTCCCTTTGTCGCCTTTAAAACACCTTCCTTGAATCTCTCTGGCTTGAACTCCTCTGCATCTTCGCCCCATATTTCCTTGTCGTGATGCAATAAGATCGTTGGTATAAATAGCAATGATCCATTTGGTAGATACAAATTTCCTAATTTAGTTTCTTCATTAGTCCTCCTGATACGAGTTGCTAGTGGTGGATAAAGTCTTAAGGACTCGTACAAAATCATCGTTACCTGAAAAATACATTTCAAATACTTATGTCTAGCTTCACCATTGTTTCTATGGATATATTAAATCTTAAACACATTTAACGAAATTTATGAATTCCCTGCTATCTCTATACATATGTAAGTTAGTCCCAAATCCCAATTGATATAAATAATGGATCTTATCCTTACGGACTAAATCCAGGATCTAGAGTCAGTTAGTCCAAGCTAAGAGTGATCACATAATATGCACGCATATCAAATTTTTTACTAAATCCAGGATCTAGAGTCAGTTAGTCTGAATCGAGAGAGTGATCACATAATATGTATCCAGGATCTAGAGTCAGTTAGTTCGAATTGAGAGTGATCACATAATATGTATGCATATCAATTTTTCTCATCATATCATATTATATTAAAAGTGGGAAGGTTTTGAGTTCAAAGTTGAATTACTAAAATGCCCTTCACTAATTTTTTAAATTAGAAAATGCTAAACAATTTTCTATTTTTTGTTGAGCTTTAATTATTGATCCTTTTTGTTTCTCCAGTTAAACTCATTCCAACAACACTTAATGCTTCACACTAAATTCAATACTTAAAGACCGAAGATGGACAATCATAATCTCCTTGATTACAATCCAAAAACGTTTCTAATCATATTTTTTTTAGTTATTGTTGATCAATGTTTATATAATTTTCTCCCACAACCTTTTCATATTCTTTACATTACAAAACTCTATAAAGGTATACAATAAGTTTTCTTTCTCCCATCTTCTAGTCATTTTCATTTTGCTAGAGATTTTTTTTTCCAGGTATATCTTTTTTTTTTTATATATATATATATATATGTATGTGTGGTTTAAGCCTCAATCTTAGTATGTTTAGCGGTATAGTGCTTGATATGAAAAAAGAATGATTATCTTTAAATTAGAACTATTTATCCCAATTTCTTAAGTTAATCTTTTGGTTCGTATAATTAATTTGCATCTTATGGAAACAAAGATCAAATAGAGTGGTCAAAAGATATTCGAAAATATTAACCACCGAGAATAATGTTCTTTAGTTTTTTTTCTTTTTTCATTTAAAGAATAGTACTGTATATTAAAAAAGAAGAATGCAATTCATATAAGCACAAAAAAAAAATGAAAAATATTCTTTTATATTTGTGATTTCAGCAATAACTAGAATTAAATTTATTTCTTCTTCATGTCTTTGCTACTTTCGTCAAAGACTTTTACATGTATTTATTATTTTTTCGAGTAGAAATTCATTGTAAACTGAGTTGTTTGATCTGTAGCTATTCATCGACATATCCATATCATTAGAGACTAAATCAGAATTAAAATTGTTAATTTCTGCATTTCTTATTTTATAATTGAACTTTATAAATATTTTTTTTTTTAAAATAAAAATAATAAGGAATAAAAGTGCAAAGCACGTTCCAGTCTTCCAGATACTAGTATATGTAAAAGAGAGAAGTTAGTTCATTAGTTGAACCTACAGAACAAGTCCTAAATATATCATGTGTCAATGTATGAGTTGTGTTGAAAGAACTTGCGATTTTCAATCGACTTAACTCATCAAAAGCTGGTTGATCACTTCCAAAGGCTTGCAAAACTTCCTCTCTGGCTTTTGCCTGCCAATCTTGATGTCTAGATAACAAAATCTAGTAATGTACCTAATAAGTCATCACCAAACTCCTGCCCTGCCTCTTTTGCCTTTAATCTGTTGTCAATGAGACGCCTTATTGATTCTTGAACTTCTTTTTCAGTTTCTTTCATTTTCTTGTTGCTTTTGGTGGGCAAAAATCTACATGTTAAAAGATTTAGTAAGTTGAGAAAAAGTCTAGAGGTGCAAAATCAAGCAGAGGTCGATTCAGAATTTAAACTTTACGAGTTCAACCTTACACTGAATTCATATGAATCCATAGCTAAAAGGTTACATACACCTCAAAGATCAATCTATTATTTGGCAACTCGTCCAAGTTTAAACAAGTTGGACCATACAACAACAACATACCCATTGACACCCCACAAAGTGATCCTCAGGAGGGTAGAGTGTATACAGACCTTACCTCAACCCGCTCATTTGTCACCTCTATTAACAATAGTTGAATTGGTGCTCGATGTAGATAACTCTAAACGAGTAAGAATAATGCAGATCCATAACTTTAGTCGTAATTACGTACCTTGATCCTGGGATATAAATGGAATTGAACTGTTTCATAATAATCTCAGCTTGTTCTTTTTGAAGTTCAAATATTCTTCTTCCTTCTTCATAGCTACTACCAAATGCTGTACGCGAAATCATATCACTTGTTAATTTTTGAAATTGAGGCCAAATTTCCAACTCTTTTGATCCTTCATCTGGGACAATTTGTGCCCATTCTTTTAGCATCTCAACACAGCTTAAGGAAAAAGCTGGCAACATAAGCTACTTGCAAAACAAAAGAAAAAATGTATCTCATTAGTTATATAAGCGGATACAAGATTTTAATTCTATCGATTCATTACTCGAGTTCTGACAACTTAATCCATGAAAAAATGTATCCCATTAGTTATATAAGCGGATACAAGATTTTAATTCTATCGATTCATTACTCGAGTTCTAACAACTTAATCAATCACTTTGTTTATGTTATAGGTTCATAATTCGATATTTTCAACTATTTCAGCTGGTACTACACAGATAAATTCAGGCGTAGACTAAAAGTTACGAGTTCAAATGAAGTACATCTTCCCCTGCATATGCTTGTACCAAAATATGTCTTTTAGCTTTATGGCATATGTGTTGCTTGCATCGTGACAAGAGCCAGATTCGAGACTTGAACTTGATGGTTCGACTTATAAGATTCTTAGAACTAAAGTTGTTGTGCTTTTAAAATATTTATGCTTTGCGTGAAAAATGTTGAGTTCAGATGAATCTTCTATCCAAGTGTTGTATCCACCCCTGGTTGTGAGTGGAGTGTGATGTACTTAGGAGGAAGTGGTTTTAGACCATTTAGGGGAGTTTTAAACACGCGGGTTTCATATCATGAATGTACAAAAGACACGTGTCTGACATTCATTGATTTGATGTAAATACTTAGTCAGCTCAGTTATTACCAAAAACAAAATGTGTGTAGACAATATAAGGTAGAGTAGAACCTTCAACTTCTCCATATGGAAAGCTGGTTTTAAGATCTTCCTATGTTTTACCCATTTATCTTCTTCATAGTTTGCTATGCCTCTAGCCAACAAATTGGCCACTGGATTGCTGTGGTGAGGCTTTTGATAAACATAATTCTTAGCAAATATCTCTCTAATTTGTTCACTTTCCATTATTAGTATCATTGGTTTTGGCCCAAACCATACAAAACAATTTTTCCCTGCATATAAACACAATCCTTTTGAGTCCACAAGATTCTATTCACAACTTAAAGCCAGGATTTTCATTAGCATGTTCAAAATATGAAGAAGTAAACACATGAAGAAGTAGAAGGGGTTCAGAAAAATAATTTTAACCATGTATAAATAGTGTAATTTTCCAAACCCCGTGAATCCTTACTAGCTCCGCCCCTGGTTGATTGGACAATGAGTTTGAGAAAGAAAGAAAGAGTTTTGAAACTTGTGGTCTAAAATAAGTCATACACATTTGTGTGACTACAAATCAATATCATTAAGATCATAAGACCGAAAACTTGAAGTTAAAATTGTCTCTAAATAAAGAAGTACGACATTGTTTTTCGAGGCAGATTTAAAAGAAAAGTATATATGACACATAAATTGGGAGAGTAGTATAAGCTATGAGTTCAACCGACATTAGTTTTGACTCAAATCCTATATACGTGCTAAGAAATCAACTAAATGTTGGAGAAATTGTTTTAGAGAGGTTCTCTGTGTCGAGACATAGATTTTGATGGAGGAGATTATGGAGAGGAGAAGCAAACTGTTGAAGATTATATGAAAAAGGTGGACAAATTTATTTTGTCAGAAATTCAGGCCAGGGGGGCAGATTTATTGGGTATTATTTGCCCTGAATTACTTACCATAAATAGGTTTTCATTTTAGGAAAAGGTTTAGTATTGGCTAGCTTTTTTTTTGTAGGAAAAGGTTTAAGATTGGCTAGTCCTTTTCTTGTAGGAAAAGGTTTAAGACTCTATAAATAGAGACTTGTTCCTTCTAACTTAATCATCATTCACAATGTAGTCTTAAGGGTTTTGAGAGTTTTTGGTTAGGGGGAGAATTTTGTGGGACACAAGTTTGATACGTTATCACTTGTGTGAACCTCCCATGTATTCCGAGTGAATTGGTTGAGGTTATTTCTCTCTATATTTTGTACTCTCGTGTTTATATAGTGGATTGATTCATTCTCCTTTGTGGATGTAGGTCGATTTGACCGAACCACGTTAAATCTTTATGTCTTTTGGTATATTTCTCGTTTTGTCTTCTTACTCATGGTCTTTCGATGTTTGCTTTGCTAGCTTCCGCATTACACCTAATTATTTCGGTCCTAACACTAAATACATACACATTAAATCTTGAACACAAAAAAACACAATTGTCTAGCGGAATCAATAGCATCTAAACTCATAAAGTTCAAATTCTGAATCTGCTTCTAATTTTAGAAAACTTACCATATTTACTAATGGTTTGAATAAAATAAGGAATGATTCTTGGTGCTATATCATTTGAAAGATTATCAATAGGCTTTGATTGTGCTTCCTTTATGCTCTTAGAGAACTCTTTCAAGTCTCCATGGAGTAGCCTATACGAATTCCCACATAAGCCTTGTTGTCTAAGAAACTTCTCCAATTTTTTTGGCCTAAACCATGCCCAATTCAACACTTTCCATGTATATACCAACAAAATTGCAACACTAATTGTTGCTATAATTATGTTGCTGAGGGTCTCCATTTTTTAATTTTTGGTATCAGAAAGGTTTATGACCTTTTTTTTAAACATATAGTTATAACTCATAAGCCAACAACAAGGGAATCTACATATTTGATGAAATCTAGATACCTTGTATTTTAACGAAAGTAGAGTAAGAATTTGAAGTTTATAGGTTCTGAATTCTAATGTTACTGACTTCTAAATTAATAATTTGTACATATTCAAAGAATTTTAAAGATAATATGAATTTCAATCAAACCTACTGAATTCGGACAAATCTGTAATCCACCTCGGGTTTCAAATACTAGAGACAAAGTTAGAGGATATTTTATGGAGAGAATTGTGAATATTAGAGATAAAAATGGAGACGGAAAGAATAAGACAACCCCAACTATTGTTGTTTCCCATTGACTTAGCTTATTGCCGTTTGGATATGCTACATTATTTGCAAATATTATCGAAATACTATTTGTAAATCAATATTTGTTTTTTTTCCTGCTTCAACTTAGAGCGATAATTTGAAGCTGGAAAACTTGTGTGATCTTTTCACTCACAAAATTTTAATTTTAAATAATATATGAATTTTTCAAATCTCGACGAGAGGGAGTTGCTCAGATGGTAAGCACCCCTTACTTCCAACCCGAAGGTTGCAAGTTCAAGTCACCAAGGGAGCAAAAGGGGTTGAGAGCTCTTAGAGAGGGTAAAAATAATAATTAATAATTTTTTTTAAAAAAAATTCAGATCTCTTATGTCAGCCAAACTTCAATTATACAATTGCTCCCCTCTTTAATTTATTTCCAATTCTCGGCCAACTCACTATAGAAAAATAAGTAATACTAATATTCTCTCCGTCCTTCGTTATTTGTGATATAATAAAATTGTCATTTTATTTATTACTCCTTAAGTGGCGCGTTAAGTCAATATTGGATAAGTAAAGATGGATGGAGTGAGTGTAATGGTTGTTTGTTGAAATACAAAATTTTCTGTATTGACAACATACTTCCTCCTTCTCTTAATTTATGTGATGCGGTTTGACTGGACAAGAGCTTAAGAAATCTGAAAAGACTTTGCAATATTTCAAGACTATCATTAAAATAAATGATTTTAAAAAAAAATAGAAGAGTAGACCTCTATAAAAATTTTATCAAATAAATGGAATCCAACATGAGTAAAATATTAACAATATCCTTAAACATTTGTCAAATATAAAAATCAGTCATTCTTTTTTAAGACAATGTAAAAGAATTAAACAGTGTGTAATATAAATGAGGACAAAGCAAATATTATTTATTCCTTAGAAATAAAAAGTCCAACTTCTGCAAAATTTGAGGACAAAGCAAATATTATTTATTCCTTAGAAATAAAAAGTCCAACTTCTGCAAAATTTGAGGACAAAGCAAATATTATTTATTCCTTAGAAATAAAAAGTCCAACTTCTGCAAAATTTGAGGACAAAGCAAATATTATTTATTCCTTAGAAATAAAAAGTCCAACTTCTGCAAAATTTGAGGACAAAGCAAATATTATTTATTCCTTAGAAATAAAAAGTCCAACTTCTGCAAAATTAGAAGAGAAGCTAATGCATTATTACATCCACCTGTTCAGATCCTTTGTCTTTTATTTTTTGCAAAAAATAGTTTTTTTTGTTTTCTATTTGGGGTTTGGAATCCCGATTAAATCTGAATCGTGCACTGCAGGGCCCATTCAGAGGTGTCGCTTCCAAAACGATTTTATTCAGGGATCGAACCTGAAACCTCTGATTAAGAGTGAAACAGTCGATTACCACTGTACCTGATTAAAAATTACTTTATTTGTCTTATATACGCTAATAACCTTGTTTTTCAACAAATCATTTGAAGCAGTCTCACTTGCGTAAGTTAATAATAAACGATCGCATCATATATTTTAAAAGTACCTAGTAATAAATAAAGTTTGATATTACAGATATATTTAATTTGTTAGATCATAAAATTTATTCACATGTCTAGGGTGTACAAAATCGAATCGAAAATCGAATCAAACCGCGAACCGAGTCAAACCGAATTAAAACCCGACTAATGGTTTGGTTTGGTATTGGGAAAAAAAACCCGACCATGCTTGGGTTGGTTTGATTTTAACTAAAAAAAGTCAACCCCTAGACCAAACCAACCTGACATTATATATATATATATTTTAAAATTTATTTTATAAATAAAGTATTTACTTTGATGTAATTTCTAAGTATTACTTATACGTTTTCATAATTTTTTATCTTTTAACATATTTTTCAATTTTTTTGAAACTTAGAATTTTGAATGGTCCAATAAAGGTTATAGTCCATAGATATTAGTAACTCTAATAAAGCTCAATTCGAAATCAAATCAATACTATGCTAACAAAATAAATTAACTCAATACAAAAAATGACAATAATGTTTAATATTTGTCCTTTAGAAACATTGGTTTAGATATTTAAAATACATAATCTAATTTTATTTGTTCTTTAATGTTTAATCATGCAACTAATACTTATTAGACTTATTTTAGCATGATTTAGTACTTTTGAATTATGATCATTTTCATTATGACTTTGCAATATTTATTTTATATGATGATTTCATTATTATTTTTTATTGAATATTTTAGTGTAATCACTCATCTCATATTTTATGTTATTTTATTAAGAAACACCTTAGATAGTTGTATTTTGATTGGACTAAAGAAATATTTGGAGCACAAGTTAATTATATGTTTGTATGCA